CTCATCACGTAATCGGCGGTGAAGGAAAACACAGTGTATGAAGGAAACCTGCGTATTTTCGAAACGATACAAGATAAAATATTTCGAAAACATGTGAAGTCCGCCAATCCGCAGTGCGGCCGCGTGGTGCATTATGCCCTAATACCCTCTGTACAGAGGAGGCCTTTGCCCAGCAGTGGGACATATATAAGCTGTTACTTTACTCTTTTTTACTTGCACTTACGCTTACGTCTACTCTTAGGTTAACTGCTTGCTCTTTTGCCTTCTATTCCAATAAAAGCACGAACAACATTGAATGATCGTCAAACGTTTTGTTTACGCGTCGCGAGCAGCGCTCATGCATTCCGGCGCAACTGAAGTCGCCCCGTTCAGTTGAAATCGATAAATTTCACCGAGCGACTCGCTTATCCCATCGGTGGACGTTTTGCGGTCGCGCTCGGTCCAGTTCAGGGCTTCTAAATCGTTGCCCGCAATCGAACGGTATTTGGCGAACGTTAAGGAACACAAGCCTTGTATTAACTGATGTTTTTGCTTCCAGTCCCGAGACTATTAAAGCTTCATCTGACGCAAGCCGTGATAGCCCATTGTCCGGGCGCTCGCTTTCAATTCAACATACTCGGGCAACCTGAGTTCGATCTGAAGTCCGCCAATCCGCAGTGGGGCCGCGTGGTGGACTGTGTCCTAATTCCCTCTGTACAGCGGAGGCCTTTGCCCAGCAGTGGGAGATAATATATAGTGTGTTACTTCATTTAAATTTTTTTCGGAACATTTAAGAAACACTGTTTAATACGAGGTCGTATATACTACAAAAAAACTTTCAACGATTAATTGTGATACAAGCCGAGCTTTGAACCTCCATCTAAGGAGCCTATTTTATAACGTCACCCTTGCCCAACTGACAGTCCATTGTCAATCTCTCGTTGTCAGGGTGTTGCGGAGTTGCAGCGGCGAGTAAGACGTCTTCGTGTCGTGGTCGTGCACCAACGTGCGCCCGCCCTCGGATCTCTTACGCCGAAGGTGTCCATAAGTTTAATTAGCAAACACTATAATTAACAATGACATTCAGACATCCAACGACTCGATATGTCCTGCAAACATAAAGGCTGCAAAGGGCTCGGAACATCGTAATAATAAAAAAAAAAAAACAACAACAAAAATAAATAAAAAACGGATTTATCATTATCCGTCAAAATTGTTTAATATATTATTTAGTTAACTTTAATATCTTTTAAGACTGATGACTCCGTGGCGTAGTTGCCAAGGTATTGGCTTCGGGTCGTAGGTTCGATTCCAACAAGGGAAAAATATTCGTGTGACCCACTGATAGTTGTTTCACATCTGGTTCTCTGTCCCAGAAGACTAAGCACTTATTGAGGTTTAGCAGAACGCTGTTTGGGAATCCTTGATCTAATTAATGCGTTACACGCGATTGCAGTACACTCGGCGTTTGATACGCGAAATCTCGCTCAGAATGTGTGAACGCGTAAAAAGGGTTAAGTAAAACGACTGGAGATGCAAATCGTTAAAGTTATTCTTGACGTTATGTATCAATGAAATCATTTTGCAGATTATATCGTTTGTTAAACATACAATCTCATCTTAGTAAAACGTTTTCAGCTTAACCTGCGTACATTTTACCATTAAGTTTTAAATTGGTTTATTTAGTATTTCTTTTACTTTGTTCTTTATTCAATCACTCATTAAATAGTAAGTAGCTACGAATAAATACGTAAATTCATATCGGAATACTTGAATGAGCATTCAGAGTTGAGTAATTTAATTAATTCTAGAACGAATTTATGACAGAAAAGTTTAATATTTACATATTTCTTCACTAAATTCATACTTCGTTTTAAATATTGATTCTAAAACAAGTTTCCGGTTTTTAAATATAGCTAATTATAACATCACGAAACTTTGTTTACATCAAATGAATCCATTTCAAAAAGTGGTTTTTCGACCAATGTAGTAGTTAGGCCGTTGCAGTTTATGGTTAATTTAATTACCGACATGAAAGTAACGAACAAAAGTACCAAATGGTTGTAGCCAGCCGGCCCAGTAAATTATAATAGTAAAGCCCTTTTTCATAATTGGCCATGCTCGTTTTAATAAATCACTATGTATGCAAAAACTAACTATGTATGCTTAGATCTTTAAAACTACGCAACGGATCTTGATGCGTTTTTTTTTTAGTAGATAGAGTGATTCGAGAGGAAGGCTTATATATGTATAATACATTGTACCCGTACGAAGCCGGGGTGGGTCGCTAGATATTTATAATAACGGTCAAAAAATCATGTCTGTTGTATGGGAGCCCCCACTTAAATATTGTTTTTATTCTGTTTTTTAGTATTTATTGTTATAGCTGCAAAATAAACACTCCATCTGTGAAAATCTCATTTGTCTGACTATCACAGTTCATGCGATACAACCTGGTGACAGACAGACAGAGGAGTCTTGCTAGTGTAGCCCCGTTTTACCCTCTGGGCACGGAACCCTAAAAGCATCTTTTGGCGTGACTCGTCCGTTATTCAATCCTTCGCCCGTCAGGTTGGAAACGTGCGGAGTTTAAGTCAGCGCGACGCAATTAATCGCAAACGCGTCGATAAATTAACGCGCGGCCAACTTCTCCGTTAATACGCAAGCCAACAAATCAAGCACTTTCGCTTGCGTCGCGTCGCTACGCTATCGCGTTCATCCAAACGCGAAGAGCGTCCGTTTGTACAGTGCAAAGCAATTAAAAGCGAAGAGAATATTGTTCAAAGAAAGCGATTGCGATTATTTGCCGCATATGATAGAAGTGTTAAGTGGTGTTACTGACAGTATATGACAGTCGACTCGGCATTTCCGCAAACACAATTAAAAGCAAAGAGAGCGAAGAAAGTGAAGTTTTCTTTAGGATAACAGTATCCTGTGTTGCAAGGACTTTTTTGCATACATAAATTTCACGTGGACAAACACCCAAATGCGAAACAACTATCTGTGGGTCACACAAATAGTTGTCCCGTGTGATAAACGAACCCACGACCCTTCAAGCCGAAGCCAATACCTTGACGACTGCACCACGGAGTAACCAATTATTTGCCGAACATGACTATTTACGCATTAAGTGGTATTACGGACAATGTATATTTTCGGAATCTCGGTATTTTTTGCAAATAATTTTACATTTTTATCAGGGTATTTGTTTCCCAAGCAGGGTTGACCGTTGACAAAACCGTTTACAACACTATTCAAATGTCGTGGCCAACCCTACTTAGGTGGGATAGTGGCAGGAAGATGATGATAATGATAGTTACAAATATGATAGACATGGTAGTTGGTTCCGTGGCGCAGTTGCCAAGGTGTCGTCTTTGGCAACGGAGGTCGTGGGTTCGATTCCCACACGGGACGACGATTTGTGTGACCCACAGGTAATCGTTTCGGATCTGGGTGTTTGTCTACGGAAATTTATGTTTCTGAAACGTTCTTACAAACACAGGATAATGTTTTTCTGGTAAGGGCAATATTTTAAAGCAATAAAAATAGAAAAACAGAATGTCTAAGTTAAATTTGCTTTTGTGATTATTGATTTTTTGTTATTCCATTTTACTTGATTTCGGTATTTTCTTTAATTCTAGTTGAAATAGCTACCAATTTCTTTATTGGCTAAATTCAATGACTAAGGTAGTAATAATTACTTGTTAATTATGACTGCTCCCTTGTAAATTCTGCTTATTAAACATAGTATAGTATAAAAGCAGATGTATGCTACATCCACGAGAGATGTTGCCAGAAACATTACATAGTTTGGAAATACGCCTTGTACTGTACTTTTTCAAAAAATTAAATAAATTGGAGAAAATTTAAAATCTTATATACCTGTTCTCCATTCTGACTTGCTTTGTATTGTTATTTATTTAAAAACTATGCACAATAGCGTACAATGGCGAACTTAAGACCATTAGGTTCTCTACCAGTCAATCGACAAATAAACAGAGAGAATAAGGAGGTGCTAAAGAGCCGGATGAGATACCTAGTGAAAAATAGGATAAATACAAAATACTAATGTAAGTGTATTGTTTTAGATAAATTTAAAAAAGAGAGTATTTCAATGTGCAATCTATAAAAATAAAGAATTGATGCAACTTTTTTTAATTACGTATAAAGCTGTATTACGAAAACAAGTCTGTCTCTTTCTCTCGCAAAATCGAGCAAACAATTTTATATAAATGAAAAGTTTGACTGAAACTCAATTTTATTCCGGTCTTAAGATCTATTGAGAACTCATGGAGTCGTTGAACTCTTATTAATCGACGGCGGTGATTGTATAAGCGCGCAAATACTCAAATACGAAGGAAAGATTATTGTAACAGGACTTTAATTTGATGGATTTCTGTACTAATTTAAATAAAATTGGCAAATTATTTACAAGAGTGTTTACTTAAACGTTAAACTTATGAACGCGTGTGAGTGTTTTAAAAAAAGCGTGATTGAAATGTACAAATTAAATTGGGATGGACTATATAAAAACTTTGCATTTTTGCCGTAAATAAAAGTTTTGTTTTTCCTAATGGGTACTATGTAATAATGTATATGATTTTTAAATTTTTATCATTATGTTCCTTTAGAAGGAAATGAAATTGTATAGATTAGCAAAAAAAATCACAACAAAATAAACGGCTAAAGTTTTCTTTCTCGTTCGGTTCATAACACAACATTCCACAACAAGCGGAGCGCGTAGAGGCGCGCGGGACCTCCGCGTAAAAACCGCTATAGCGTCTCTTATTTGTCAACATCGGACATATCATTCCCGTTTCCCCATAAAGAGTTCGGGGGCGGATTGAAAAAGGAGAACTTTCACTGAAACGCGCGGCCGATGCGTGCCCGCGTAAGCTCGCCGCAAGCTCCCGCCCCGCGTAGACGCCAGTCCGTCGGCGGCGTCCGAGCGGTGAGCACGTCTGCCGCGTCAGCCGCGAACAGTTCCGCGTCCCGGCGTCCGCGCGTGATAGTGTGTGAGAATGGCCGTCCGCGCCGCGGCCCTGCTGGCCACCGCGGCCCTGGCCCTGGCCGCCGCCCCGCCCGACCCGTGCTACGAGGAGGAGCGCCCGCGCCGCTGCATACCGGACTTCGTGAACGCCGCCTTCGGGGCCCCCGTGGCGGCGTCCTCCACGTGCGGCCGCCGCGGCCCCGAGAGCCTCTGCGACCCCCCCGGCGACCAGCCCCCGGACACGGCCTGCCACGTCTGCGATGCGGCCAGATCCGACAGACGCCACCCCCCATCCCACCTGACCGACCTCAACAACCCCCACGACGTCACCTGCTGGCGCTCCGCCTCGCTGCCACCCGCCTCCTACGACTCGCCGCCCGACAACGTCTCGTTGACCCTCTCGCTCGGCAAGAAGTACGAGCTGACCTACGTGAGCCTCCAGTTCTGCCCGAGGGCCGCGCGGCCCGACTCCGTCGCGATATACAAGAGCGCCGACTACGGCGTCACCTGGCAGCCGTTCCAGTTCTACTCGAGCCAGTGCCGCCGCGTGTACGGCAGGCCGAACAAGGCGACCGTGACGGCAGCCAACGAGCAGGAGGCGAGATGCTCCGACACGCACCGGCTCGCCGGCGAGGGCTCGGGCGCTTCCAGGCTTGCGTTCAGCACGCTTGAAGGTCGTCCGAGCGCGGCGAACTTCGACATATCGCCGGTGCTGCAGGACTGGGTGACCGCCACGGACGTGCGGGTGGTGTTCAACCGGCTGCACATGGTGAACGAGGGCGAGGAAGTGGACGGGAGGAGGCAGGCGGCGGCGGGCACTCAGCACTACGCTGTGTCCGACTTCGCGGTGGGCGGCCGCTGCAAGTGTAATGGACACGCGTCCCGCTGCGTGCCCGCCAAGCCCGAGGAGGGCTCCGGCCCAGGGGTGCAGCAGCTAGCATGCGACTGCAAGCACAACACCGCCGGCCGCGACTGCGAGAGGTGCAAGCCGTTCCACTTCGACAGGCCCTGGGGACGTGCGACCGCTCGCGACGCCAACGAGTGCAAAGGTACCGGCTGCTTCCCCATTATTCATTTGATATAGGGTCCTATTCATGAAAGCACGACACAGAGGTTCAATGTTGTTAGCATGCTGCCTTGTTTATTTCATCCCTTCAATTTATATATAAGTATGTGTATTATTTTCCGTCGCATTTTCTTCATTCCAATTAGTGACGAAGTTATGAAACAGTCTGTTTAATAGCATTGAACCTCTTGTTTATTTCATCCCTTTAACAAATTAGTGGTGTGTTATTTTAAAGTACATATCAGATTAAGCTTCGCTATATTTAAACGTTTAATTAAAATACGCTCTAATTAAGGCACGCTCTTAACTGCTCCAAAAATATCGATAGCGTTTTTGATTCGAAACTGTTTTTGTAAATTAAAAAAAGAAAATGCCGTATAATTAATTCGCACCGATCAAATTTCAGAACATCAATTCTGATGGTTTTATTTCCCTTATGCGATTTTAATGGGCAATGTCTGTATAATTTAGTTTTATTGATTTAACAGCTCAGAATGCTACTTTTAAACTGTTTACTTAAGTATGTCGTATGCATGCAAATCGACGTATTATAGTCATATTATAATTATATAGTATCCCGTAGAATTTATCAGATTAAAGATAAATTATCCAGATTTGCACAAAAGTCAAATAACGTTCTACAATTTAAACTTTGAATCCCTTTCGTTGGAGATTTATGTTAAAGTAAACGGACTGCGCATATTAAGTAAATTAGCCAGGACGTAATTCGTCTTCTTACTCCAACCTGACATTGTTATTAAAGTGAACCATAGTGAGTACAGTTTGATGTTAAATTAAAATAATAATTCTTAATATCTTCATAAAAAAAAGTTATGTTAACTATCACTATTCATATTTTATTTCAATTATGCGCTTTGATTTTACCTTACGATATTTCCTTATATTTAATACAACCTTAGATCAATGCAAGTTCTAATATTTCAATGAGATATAATCAATATCTACTACAAATTATATTTCATTGGTTAAATTTTAAGTAGTAAAGAAATGTGTAATAAGATACTATGAGTTCGTATTATAATTACCAATTTTCGATTTGGAATCATATATTTACAGTTGCAATAGGCTTTAAAATCCGTAACGTTAGCATAAGTTAGTTTTGTTATCGCTTAGTTTTGTTGATCGTGAATTAAATAATTCAAATATAAACATCAAATAATTTATTTTTATCACTCATCATTATTTATTTTAAACAAATAAATAAGAACTAATTACTTGATTGGGTAAAGATATTTCAATAAAGGCGGCATACATGCGGGCCTTATTACGGAGAAAACTTTAAATATTGATAATATAGAGATGTGATCGTAAATGTCGTAATCGTAAACGTCGATGAAATCTTGTGGAACATATTTTGATCCGTTATCTATAGTACCTATACTTCTATAGTAATATTATAAAGAGGAAAGATTTCTATTTTCGTATGTTTGTAACGAATTAAATCAAGAACTAGTGATTTCAAAAATTCTTTTCCTATTAGAATGCTACATTATACTTTTTTACGTGTAAAAAATAAATTTCCACACGTGCGAAGCTGGGACGAGCCGCTAGTATATTATAAATATATCCGTTATGTGCAAATGTACAATTCGGGGGCCACTGTTAACTATCTTAAATAACAAAAATAACAAGGGAAACACATATATATTAAAGGTTTTTAGATATACATTTACATGTAATACGAAAACGAATATTTAGAGATGTAAGAAATAAGGATAAACAAAAATGCTACGAAGTAATTTTTTTCCACCATCGAATCGTGTTGTTAAAAATTTTTTTCGCCCCTGCCGGTATTTGAATCCGCGTCTAGCAAATGTTCCAGCTACTAATCTTAGCGGTAGATATCTTCACCGCGCGCAAATCTCGACTACTTTGCTTGCATTGAATTTTTGATAATGCTTTTCACGTTCTAGTGTGCTTCCTTTACAACAAAAAACTCTCAAATGACATTTATACAATTAATAATATAATAATCTTTAATGCGGCGCAGTTGTCAAGACATTGGCTTTGGCGTCGGGTGTCGTGCGTTCGATACCCACAGGGGACAATCATTTGTGTGACCCACAGATCAGTTGTTTCACATTTGGGTGTTTTGTAAGTAAGGGCGATGGTATAAAATAGAAAAAAAAATTAATAGCATAAATTGTCGAAAAATTTATCGACAATTTATGCTGTTGTTTTAAGTTGCATTGTGAAAAAGTTCGTTGGCAAGCGCTCGGCTATTGTGTCTATTGGAAGAGGATTCAGCGCTTTGTTGTACCATTCTATGTTAGCTGTGGTTTCAAAGCGAGACGTTTGAGGCAGCGATCTTGAGTTCTCCTCGCTCGCTTTGCAAACAGTTACAGGGGATACGTTGTATGGAATATTTCAATCCATAAACATATTAAGTAACGTTCCCTGCAACATTGTTGCCGGGTATTGAATAGCATAAGCGTATAAGTCATTGGATCTCCGTATTTACTTGAATGCACGTTCTTAAATGCTATTACTGGTTTATAGTTAAAAGGAACAACAGTTTAATAGTAAATGATGAATTTGAGAGAAATCGTGAACAAAACCGTAAGGCCTCGTGTACATTGGTAACGTTTGGGTATTGGATAAAATAAATGCTCCAAAAGTGAACAGTAGCATCGCGTGTCATTGTGAAGACAAAGGTCCGTTTATCCCATGACCATAGACGTTATTTATGATAAAGGGAAGTGATAGAAACATGAAATTGACAAGCTGATCTATCAACAAGGCCATTATTGATAAGGAATGTAAGCTGGCTGCAGTTAATTTATTATGTAATGGTTAAGATATCTTGAAAATAACACAATGACTTAGTCTTTATAGTAAAACATGTTAATAATCAAAACCATCTCCTTCATTGCCTCTTTTAAACCCTTCGTCAATTTTCAAATAACCATCCATCAAACGTTACCATCAGGAATCCGTCTGCTGCGTATGTCGGCAGCTGGCCTGTTCTATAATGTATTGTGAAAATGTTGAAATTCATTCAGAACGTAAAAAAAGGAATTAGAGCTAGGGTGTAAATTCCATACGCAAACAAAGTCGCCGGTGAGAGCCGGTTTTAAATAAATCTAAGTAGGCACATTATCCGTAAAAATAGTGTCGTTTAAGAGAAGCGTTTAACTTGCAATGCGTAATTTATTTTTGGTATCGATAGGAATAGACGAAGGTTCTACAAGATCGATTAGCGGATAGATGCGGCATTTAATTAATTAATTGGGCTAGTCTCGTTAGAGCACAGTTGCCAATAATGCGTCCGTATAAGTTTAAACGTTAGCCAATATTGCGAGCCCAATATAATTCGGAACTTTAACCTGAGGCGAAATATGGAATCAATTTTAACTTTTGGACGTGAAACGATCCGACTGTAACATACGTTGGTGAAATTCTTGTAGTTATCGAAGCTTTACGTATTAAACGGTATGTACTTTAGGGCATTAAGAAAGCAACTGTTCAAAATCATTATCATTTTTAAGATAAAACAATAAAATTAAGTATCATTAAAATAGTTATTATTTTTAATTTCTTCATAAACAGTACCTTAAAGAGAGCTTGGTTTTGCGTTTACAGTTTAAGGCTATCATATTTTCCATCTGGTAAATGGAAAATATATGTACTGGCCACTTCATGGAAAAAGAACCCGACCTCCATGGTCGGACAGTCGTACACAATCGTTATCAGCTGTTCGCTAGATATCATTCTTGTTTTCTTTTCAAATCGTGAACGCACGCTGTACGGCCGGATCCGGCCGATAAATCACTCATTAATATCTTATTTATTATCTGTGCTGGGCTTTTTTTGTTTTATTGGTAAATACTTTCACCCGCGCGCGGAGAATATCGTTTTCTTCGCCGCGTCAGGTTTTTAAGAGTTACTTTTCTCGTTGAACCGTTCGAATTAATTCATGCTTTAATTTATCATACTGAAGTCCAAACTAAATTACTTATTAAGGAAATTGAATTACCTTTTATGTGAATTCGTAACAGAAGTAATAGTGTCTTGTTTCATTTGTTTATCTATATAAAACAACACAGTTGAAACAAATCCATCAACATACATATTAAGCGCCTTTCTGTTTGATTGCAATGTGGGTGTCTACAAAGCAAGAGTGTCTTTTACTGAGTTCGGGCTTTTACCGAAGAGTCACTGCGAAACACATACCGTCAGGGGGAACCACAATCAAGAACTAGCCAGTCTTTGATAACAAAACCGAAACCGAAACCGGTGCACGAAGGGTTCCGTACCATTATCAACGAAAACGGCCAAAAAATTTCATGTCTGTTGTATGGGAGCCCCACTTAAATATTTTTTATTCTCTTTTAGTATTTGTTGTTATAGCGGCGACAGAAGTACATCATCTGTGAAAATTTCAACTGTCTAACTATCACGGTTCACGAGATACTGCCTAGTGACAGACGGACAGACAGACTTAGTAATAGAGTCCCTCCCATTTTACCCTTTGGGTACGGAACCGCAAGAACGAAAGAAAACCGTAAAATCGAGGCCTCAAACGCAGACTCGTTTGAGGCCTCAGCATGCTCCAATATTTTTTTTTCAACTCATATTTTGATTTCAAACAAGCAACAAGCTTAAATGATGAATTGAACCATAGATGCCAAAAGTAGTACTAGAGCGTGTTAAAGAATTAGACTGTGGTAGTACAGTCATCGCTGTTGCACGAATGGATAGGTCATGACGTAAGTAGCATGACCGCACAGAAGACCGGCGCTTAGTCTGATGAATGAGGTAGCTGGGGCCCACTTTATTAAAAGCTGGCAACGCATATGCAACCCTACGGGTGTTGCAGATGTCCATGGGCGGCGATTTTCGCTTAACATCGGGTGAAACGCCAGATCGTTTGCTACCTTCTAACTTAAAAAAAAGACAATATACACTAATACATACTCTTGAAAAACTTTACCCTTTGGCAGTAGGGAATAAACCTTTTTTACATTTGACCTTTGTATAGAGACGAGATCACA